CAGCCCTGGATCACAGCGAGCAGCGACTCAACAGCTGAACGCGGCAGGACGACAAGGGGTGGCGGTGAGGCTGGGCAAGGCGAAAGTGGAGAAAGGAGAGAAGCGACGAAGCGACATGTTCACACACAGACACACACACAGACACAGACACACACTCACACACTCACACGCGCACACCCCCCCTCTCTCTCTTGGCCTTGAGCGCACCTTGTGTGGATGTATGTGGATTGTGGATCCTCCTCCTCAATCTGGGCGGCGCTGGCTTGCATAACGCGCATGAGGTCGTGTGCATCCGGCGCAAACATGTCCTTGCAGACAGACACGCCCATCAGGCCGCGCAGCATGCGGTATTGCCTGTCGTTCGCGTGCTGGAGAATGTTCTTCATGAACGGCACAGAGTCATTGTCGTAGTCCCTGAACCGCTCCTGCGCCACGTCGGCCAGCACATGCATGCCAACCAGAAACACGATGGCCACATCCTTGCTGCCGCTGCAACCAGTGAGGAGTGCAAGCACACCATCACCTCATCAACTGCCGCTGTTGTTGTCATGGCGTGCAGCACCACCACAACAACCGCCACAATCACGGCCATTCTCTCTTCAAACAACGGTGTGGTGGTCCACGGGCCAACAGCATCCAGCGCAGTGAGCTGCTTGAAACCGGCAGCGTGCAGTGACGGCTGTGGCCGCGGTGTGATGCTTCGCTGGCAGAAGATGAGGTGGCGGAAAACAGCAGCAGTTGTGGTTGAAGCTGAGGTGATTGAGATGGGCAGGGAGAAGCACAGCTAGCAGCAGCGGGAAACTGGCTGGCAAAGGGCCTTGAGTGCAGCGCCACAACGCCGCGCAGGACAGCAAGCAGTGCAGCTGTTGCTGTGTCAATGTGGTGTGGTTGACGATGGCGTGAACACGCATGCATGCACACACACACACACATGGCAGTGTCGGGGACGGTGATGATGATGTGGCAGGTTGAGGTGGGGCCACGTGCTGGCAGCACTCAATCACAGCAAAGGTGCAATGCTGGTGGCTGTCAGTGGCTGCGGTTGGTTGATGCGGCGTTGCGGCGACGATGTGTGTGGGTGGTTGGCTGTAGCAGCAGAGCCTGCGCTGGGTCGGAATCCGTGTGTGCACGCGTGCAACGGGAGGGTGGGGGAGCAAGATGCAGGCGCTCCACTGGGCGGGGGTGATGCGACCTGTGTGCAGACAAAAAAGGAGACAAGGGAGAACTGACAATGAGAAGCTGTCGTGCACGACGTGCCAGTGTAGCCCTGCATCAGCACAGTGGGGAGATTGAATGGTGTTGTGTTGACGAGGGGTGATCGGTGTGCGTGGTTGCTTCGACATGCGGGAGGGGCAACGAGTGCAAATGAATTCAATCACACACGCACACCCACACACACCTCTTGTGTGGCGCTGGGAGCGATGCCTGCTGGTGCGTGTCAACCAGCAGTGCCAGTGGTGTCAGCCATGGCGGCATGGAAGCGGAAGTGTGGTGGTGGGATTCTTCACCTCAGTGCACATTCCAGCCACCACGCTGGAGACCACGAGCTGGCTCACTGTCTCCGTGCCCGTGCATGGCACCGACCGCCGTATGGCAGCGGTGATGACAATGTCAGAGGCCTGCTCTGAAGCAAGCACACATCGTGACAGGGGTAAAGGAGAGAGAGAGTGTGTGTGGGGTGTGGGGGGGGGGTGGGGTGTGATGGACGAGGGGAGGTGGTTGACAAGGACAAGGACATGCCGAGGGGATAAGTGGGGGAGGAGGAGTGCAAACTGTGGTGTGCATGTCGCGGCACGCAGCGCACTGAGGTACAGTGCAGTGGAGTGGAAATCCCAGGCAACACTCCCACCCCCATCAGCCACACACATACCGAGACAGAGCGAGAGAGAAGGTAGTGCCTCTTGTTGCCGTGGCACACGGTGATGGCACGCGCTCAAGGACACGGTGCTGTCATTCAAGCCACCATCATTATCCTCATCGTCAGCCTGCAAAACAGGTGGTGGTGGTGAAGATGAAGACGCGCAGCGTTGCAGCCAAAGGCAAAGGGGGGAGGTGGGAGGCATGTGACTTGAAACGTGTGAGTGAGGGGGGGGGGGTGGGGAAGAGATGGTGTGCAGAGAGCAGGTCAAGCAAGGGGTGTGCAAGGGAATGAAAGGGAGAGTGGACTGCGAGGAAGAGAGGAACAGTGTAAAGGAGGGCAGAGCAGTCAGTACAACACACACGCACGCACCACGTGGTGGACGTGTCGCTCGTCCAAGCGGAGTGAATGAATACACGTCTCTTTGTTTGGCTTGCTCGCTCGCTTGTGTGCCTGCTCGTCTGCTTGATTGCTTGATTGATGGATTGCTTGTGTCATTGTCATCATCAGCAATATCCCCCTGCTACTCCCTGCTGCTCCCTGCTGTTGTTGTTGTGGTTGCGGCTGAGTGTGACCAAACCACCACCGCCAACCACCACGACGCACCTCCCCATCCATCCCTTTTCCTTTCGTCGCAGCGAATGCAGCGTGTGCGTGTGTGTGTGTGTGTGTGTGTGTGTGTGTGTGTGTGTGTGTGTGTGTGTGTGTGTGTGTGTGTGTGTGTGTGTGTGTGTGTGTGTGTGTGTGTGTGTGTGTGTGTGTGTGTGTGTGTGTGTGTGTGTGCATTGCGTGCAACCAGCCACGACAAACGGCTGTTGTGCGTGTTTGTGCAGAAGGAGACGGGGAAACCTGAAATCAGTCGATGACACGACTGTGGAGATGTGGCAGCCCAAACTCGCTTGCTTGCACTCGCTTCTTCTTCTTCTTCTTGTTCTCTTTGGTGCAGTGCACACAGCTAGGCACGGCAAGGCAAGGCAAGGAAGGAAGGAGGGGGTGATGTGGCAGTCACCGCAACAGCAGCATGGGGGAGAAGAGAGATGTGGGAGAGGGGAAGAGAGGAGTTGTTGGTGATCGCTACCCAGTCACCAACAGCCAACCAGACCAATGTGGCAGAAAGGTCTCTGACACTCACACACACACATGCGCACACACACACACACACACACACACACACACACACACACACACACACACACACACACACATGCACACAAACATGCACACAAAGTAGGCGTCACGTCAACGATCCCCAGGTGAGCCAACACACATCATGCCCACTGTTCCTCCCTCGACTTCTGCTTCTTGTTCTTCTTTTTCTTGGGCACTATTCGTTCGCTCCATGCGTCAGGCAACCAAGTATGTGAACGTGGGACGCGGTGTCCTGTTTGTGGTGACAGTGCTGTCGGTTGTTGCTGTTGCTGTCTTGTTGTGGGTGTGGGTGTGGACTCCCTTCTTTCCTTCTTCTTGTGGCACAAGGATGTGTGCAGGGGGCTGCGCGCCTGCTGAAAGTGGTGGTTTCGTCGTCGTCAGGTCGTTGACGCGAACAGGTGTGCTGTTCTCTTGTGATTGGACAAGGCAGTGGCCTGCAGAAACCTAACGACGCCCGTGAGAGTGCACTGGCAACACTTGCCGCTGACATACGCACACCACAAGGCAAGCGACAAGCAGTGTTATTCACGGCCACCTGCGAGGTGGGTGCAATCACACCTCCGCTCTGTGTGTGTGTGTATCAGTGCACGGTGGTGATCCGATTTCCAAACCACAACCACTGCTGTCGCTGCTATCACTGCTGCTGCTGCTGGTGCTGCTGCTGTTGGCACGTGTATTCTCACGGATGCATCGTCTCTTCCTCCCACGCAAACAATTAACAGACAGGAATCGGCAAGTGAGAGTGGTGGAGACCAAGGCACCAGCAACACAGAAGGACACGTTTGAGTGGGACGCACCCCCACAGCGGTACCGGAGCGAGCAATCACAGCATTTGCGCTGACATGGGTCAGTCTTCTCTCGTGATCACAGTCACACATCATTCATCCCCCAGGTTGCAATCAAGTCAGTTTACATGGTATGTACGCTGTAGGTGCTCATCACCTGCCCCATGCACACGTGGTTTTCACACACACACACACACCCCACAACAGCCCGCTTGCGCGGCATCATCTCGCTGGACATGCGTGATGCGCGATGATGGAATGCCCACGTCTCAACATGACAGTGAGCGACGTGTGTGTGTGTGTGTGTGTGTGTGTGTCTGTCTGTCTGTCTGTCTGTATGTGTGTGTGTGTGTGTGTGCGCGCGCTTCTCGTTACGCTCGGCAACCGTGTGATGACGGCTCATCACTCTTGCGCACGTTCCCTCGCTCACTGCAACACCCATCTCGCCACCGTTAACGACCAGGTTGCCATCCACTGGATGCCCTTGATTGAGTCGATGGAGCAGAGTGTTGGTGACATTGGCAAGGTGCTGCTCGTGGCGGGACAGAGCGAATGCTTTCAAAAGTATGCGCACACTGTATGTGTAGGCGTGTGTGCATATGTGACGTCGACGTGGTCATTCTTCCATGCGTCTGCTGTCTGTTATTCGTGTGCCATCGTTTGATCTTGAGCTACGATGTATTGCCCTAATCTCTGTTCCTCGTGCGTGTTTGGCCACAGAGTAGGCCTTCAGCTGAAGAGAGGAAGGGGGACGCTGCTCCGGCACAAGGATGATGGTGACATGAGGTGCGACCACCAAATTGTGTTGTTGTTGCAGGTGCATTGCGGCCGACGCCGCCGCCGCCGCCGCTGCTGCTGCTGATGCTACTGGTGTGTACCTGCACACACTGAACCACTCATCAATCGCTATCGTCTTGCAATCCTTCTGTGCGGTTCTCTTCGCGGCTTCGTCTTCACAGCTTCATGTCTGCCGAAGAGAATGAACTCTTTGACCCAGTGCGTGTGTTTGTGTGTGTGCGCGTGTGTGTGTACCCGTATGTGTGTGTGTGTGTGTGTGTGTGTGTGTGTGTGTGTGTGCGTGCATGCGTGCAGCGGTTCGTTGCAGATATCTCCCAACACTCCTCCCATCCCCTTTCATCCGCGCGCCTCACCACACAACAAACGCACCCATCGTCTCGACCACCACCACCGTTTACAGGACGCACTGCCCCGAGATGCCGCTGCACCATCGCACTGCCAATGGCGGTCCTGATGTCAGGGATCACCGCACGGCATATCCATCGATCCTCTTCGCACGTGCCCATCGTTCAAGGTGAAGACCCACCAACACAGCAACAACAACAGAAACGACGTGGCATGAGGTGCAACCGAAGCATAACGACCTCACACTCTCTGTCTGCCCGTGTGTTATGATTGCGTGTTCATGCGTGCGCGCATCTATGGCAGGTGTACGTGTATCCTCTGACTGCTGATGAAGAGGCCGCCCTTGCCAGCCATCGACCGCGCCATCCGAACCGCCATCCATGACGGCCGTACAGCACCGATGACCTGTCCAAGGCTTGCCTCTTCGTTCCAAGCACAGACGTACCGTGCTGGTGTGAAGGTGTGTGTGTCTGTGTGTGTGTGTCTGTGTGTGTGTGAGTGAGTGTGCGTGCGTGTGTGTGTGCGTGCGTGTGGTCCCGTCCGTACAGATGGACTTTCCTTCCCACGGCACTCTACAATCAAACACCTACCTCATGTGTGTGTGCGCGCGCGAGGTGAATGGAAAAATTGCATGACA